TTTCTTTTGAATATGTGTCTAAGGGACTAGGATTGCTTTTGGGTTTCACGATTGGTTGAGACCTTCCTAGTCGACCGACGTCTGCTTTGTACTTAGGAGATCAGCGCCCTAAGGACCAGACAACGCTCGGGTCCGCTTGGCGTTAACCAAGCGTATCTATACTACAACGAACGAGCAAATGCGCTCGGTTGATCTACCTCTGCAATTGCGTTTAAAAGCTTTCGCACGTGGGTCAGCAGCTCGGTAGGAATACGCCCCTAACGGTGGTGACAGCCCCTTAGGGAAGGAAAGCTTATGCCCCGCGGGAACCTATCGTGTCGTAGGGGACCGCGGGATGAGAGCTGGCGTACCCGGCTAGAGCGGCGAAGGGACGACGCGACCGCGGCCGTCTCGGCGGCTCGTGGGAATTAGCTAGGCGTCGTTCTTGAGTGGTCTCTTGATTTTGGTTTTATTTTTGTTAAACTCCTCCGTGACATGGTCGGGAGGGCTCTCGCCTTTGCGAAAAAGGCAGGAGCCGATGCGCTCGACAGCGTGATTGGCACGAGTGCATGAAGCCACGGAGCGGAGTTGCACAGGAGATCAGGCCGCGAGCTGCCCGTGCCTCAGGAGTTCTACACGAAGGACGGCTACACTCTTGCAATGGCAGCTCGACAGGCGGGCACATGTCTGGAAGGCCGGGAGGAGGCACCATGGAGGAGGCGCAAAAACAAGGGCAAAGAGAAGGACGATGGCAACGCGCCCGTGCAGTCTGGCAAAAGGAAGGCTGTGAGCAACAACAGCCACGACCGAAGGGAGGGCATCCAACATTGGCAGAACATGCAGAAGGCAGGGCACAAAAGGCCGAAGAGAAGGCTGCCAAGGCAGCAGCTGACGCTGCTGCAAAGTATGCTGCCACAGGCAGGACACAGAGAGTTGCCATCATAAGTGATGATGATCACGATGAAAATATCCCGAAAAACATCCGGGGAGACGAAGAGTCCGGGAACGGAGGAGGCTGAGGAGGAAGAGGGATGTGAGGGCGGAGCACAGCAAGAAGAAAGCGGGGAGGAAGATAGGGAACGGAGTAGGGTGCACCCGTTGTTCTCTTTTCGTCGACCGACCGAACAATTCGAATTTTGGACTTTTGATATATTCAAGGAAAGCACCAAGATTACACAAATGGAGAATCGAAAACACTGAAACCCAATGTCAATGACAGCTTACTCTCGTCCTCACCAACACAAGTATCCAGGCCCTCTCTCCCTACTTGGCGCTCGGCACCCAAACTACTCCCCCAAACTACTCCCTACACCTGCCTACGAATTGACAATGCAGCTGTTGACATCAGCAGCCACTGAAATACTTGAAGATGTTGACCAATGCAGACCATCGCCAATACCAGGTATGCGCCCTCACGTCATCATCATCATCTCTCCCTCTCTCTCTCCCTCTCTCTCCCCCTCGTCTTTTGCTCACGTCTTCCTTCTTTACACCCGAAGACCACCACCACCTCCACTGGCTGTCCAAGCCAAGCCCTGGCTATGTGGGGCTAGCTATGGCGCTGCCCTCAGCAGCGCCCTGCCTTCTTCCAGCGCCCGCGCGCACTGCTTGGCAACTAGCGCTAGCGCACAGCGCACAGCCCATGAGCGCACACTCGAGCAGCGCTGCTGCATGCACTGCCTAGTGCCCGAATGCCCCCACCAGTGGCGAGCTCTTTCCTTTATCGAAAGTGCTCGCCCAGTTGGCTGTCTGGCTGGGCCTCATGTGTTTCCAGTAGCTTCCGATTGGGCCAAAGTGTCTGCACCCAGGCCCATTCAGACAGTGGCCTGGGACCGAATTGGTTAGGCCTGCCCAACCACCCACGAGTAAGCGTGAGGTTCTCCCTGCTTCGCATGTGCTGCTGGAAGAGCCTAGAAGGCTCACAAATTATTTCTGATTCTCCCGACTACGGAGGATGTAACCAACTGGCGCATGGCAACTGTCTGGCGCCCACCGAACTCTGCCAAATTTGACGAACTCAGGCCATATTGAGATTCAGGGGCCCGCCTTCACTTAGGGCGGGCTCATGCTTGCTGAAAGGGCTCTACAAGGGCATGCCGAGGAGCTAACTCGTAACAAGGCCTCGTCGAAGGTCCATGCCCACATGGGGGTTCCAACAGGCTCTTCTTCGGACCCTCAGCCTGGTCTCCTAGCCCTATAAACAGGCATTGGCACATATTTTGCAGGCCCGCCTTCACTTAGGGCGGGCACAACACTTTCAGACACTGCCGAGGGAATAAATCCTCGCATATAAGTTTTTGTCATTTTTTCTGTTGTGTTCCTCTTTCTGTACTGTGTGTGCTGCAACGCCTATTGTTTCATGTGTTTTTCTGAAGCCATGTCGCCGCTCAATTGCATGGATGCATTGAATGCTGTGACTGCTGCGTCTTCGCAGTCTGAATCCAGGCGAGTGTTACATCCCCCACTCAATTTTACAAAAAAAAAAAGAAAAGAAGAAAGTACAACAAACTTCATGAACTAGCTGGAACTGGGCAGGCTGAAGTCCAATGAACCAATACACCTGCGCAGGCCAAATGCAGGGCCATTTAGCAATTGGCGCACTGGGCACACAGGCCCTGAACCCCAGCGCACCAAGCGCACAGTGCACAGTGCGTGCTCTGGGAAATGTGTGCACCGTGCACCCCATCAGGGCGCCGCAAGTCTGGTTGTGACCCAATACGCCCAAAACTTTTAGGTCTGGTTCTCCAGAGTTGGGAATCAAAGCATCCATTCAAGATTGTCACGCCTGCGCAAATCGGAAAAGGAGCCTCAGGCAGACTGGTGGTTATAAGGCGCGTGTTACACCCACCAATGGTGATTGTACACATGCACGTCCTGAGCAACAGCAAGACACAAAACAGCACTTTCAAGTACGTGAAACTCTGAGCCTTCGTATGTGGCCTTGCAACAATGTAGTTACGAAGCTTTGGGGTTCGTCGGACAAGACATGGGCTTCTACCACCTTACCCCGAATAGAGCGTACAGTCATTATCCCTGTATCTAGTCTGAAAGTTTCCCCAAAATACAGCTAAAGAAAAGACCGTACGTTCTATTCGGTGGAAGATGGTCAAGTGCAAGAAGATTAGTGCAGATAGACAGGGACAAAGAACAACAGATGACACAAGCACAAACAGAGTTGACAAATGACAGGCAAGAGCAAACTAGTCGAAACAGAGAGCAAGAACGAGTGAGAATGGAGGTCTGCCTTTTACAGCACTACCAGAAAAAGAGCGTAACAACTACAAGAGTGGACATAAGATGAATAGAGGATGCCTGAAGCAACCATGGCAAGTGGTGGACAGGAGGAGTAGTATTCTAACCTTCGAAACACTCTTCAATTCCCATTCTCCCTTGATTCTGGGATCAACACATTGTTTCACCTTATCCTCAGTCAACCTCGGCACAGCCTGTACAAGCAGAACGCAGACAGGTTCAGCAAATCGTACAAAAACTTGTCAAAAAGTTTTTTTTTTTTTTTTTTTTTTTGGAAAACACATGCTCCAGTCTATTCGTGGGGAGCAGCACGTGCTGGGAACCGGGCCCAGCATCCCATATCGAATTGTACAGATCATTGAGAACATTTGAGATCATTTGAGATACCGGGGCCATTACCCGACTTCGGCTGAGAACAGTCTGTGAACACGATATGATTCAGAAAGCATGGGGAGGATCATGAGTATCTAATGAGCTAGTAAGGAACTACTCATGCAATAGGCTGCCACAGAGGTCCTACGAATGCTCGCAACCCTCAGGATCCCTAACAAGCCCTTCTAAGACTTTCCAACACAGTCTTACTCCCTGCTGAGCTCTTCCAGGCCTCACGCCCCCCCAATGCTGGGTCACAGGGCAACACAACTCACCCCAGCTCCGACCAACGTCGTCCCAGCAGCAACCCTTGGTTGTCCTTTGGGATGCCCACCCCAAAGCATCCCCAGATCTCTCTACCAGGCCTCACACTCCTGCATCACCAGGTTGCAGGGCAACACCCCAGCACTGGCCAGCGTCATTCTGGCATCGAACAGCCGCAGATCACTGAGTATAACAGCATCGAAACCGCCCAAGATGGGTTGCTAAGAGTCCCTAGAGTCCTAAGACATTCATAAGAACAACCAACTTTTTTTCCACTATTCAGACTCTACCAAGTCACTAGAATATGTGTGTCAAAAAGCCTCCAATACTCTACAGTTCCAATACTCTTCCTCTACGTGAAGAGGAAGAGGAGGAGCAGGAGGATGAAGACGAGGAACATGACGACAAAGATCCGAAAAAAAAAAGGAAAAAGGGTGCCACGTGGCATGAGCAGGGAAGGGAGCGGGGGAGGTTATAGCAAGTACATGATGATGACCAAGAGGAGGAGGAGGAGGAGCGGAAGGAGGATGCAGACATGGAGACGGAGGAGGCGGACGGAGGAGCAGAAAGGAGGAAGACCATGACAACAAAACGACGAGAGAGAGAGAGAGAGAGAGAGAGAGAGAGAGAGAGAGAGAGAGAGAGAGAGAGCGACTTGCACTGCTCCTCGCGCGGCCTTTGCTGCACCCACTGCCAGCCCTCCTGCGCCTGCTCCGCGTCTGCTCCTTGCCTGCTATGGCCGCCTCGTTGCCCTGCTTCTTCCTCCCTCTGACAATGGTGGTAGTGGCGGGCATGCAAGCTCGATCATTGTTGTGGGAAGGGGGGCAGCCGAACTCGCAAGACGGGATGATGAATTCAAAGACTGTGCCCACTACGAAGCTGCCACGATGCAAGGATGACATTCAAACAGGCAGAAACATAGAAGGAAGAAAACTTCCCACAGGCAAAAAAA